GCAGGTTGCACTTAGGTACCAAATGGGTGGCCAAGTGATGCTGGACTTGGGTATTAGGAAATTCTATGTAATTATAAAAATATATAGTTTCAAGAATCTTAATAAAGTATCAGTGTAACTGCTTAAGGTTAAAAAAAAAAAAAGTAATATGTACAAAAAAGTAAAATAATATATAATTATTACAAGACAACTGATTATAATACACAGATATTAAAAATTAAGTAGACAAAAATATCAGAAAATCAATAGAAAAGAGAATAAATCATATATAAACCAAAACAGAATTAACAATTTAGCAAAATAATAAAAAATAAAAAGAAAAAATTGTTAGGAAAAAAAAACTCTTTTCAGTACACTTTCAGTAACAATACAAAAATAACAAAATTTCACAAAAACTAAATAAAAACTTTTTTTAAAACTTCTTTAGTAGGGCTAAAGCTCTTATACCCAAGAAAAGAAACTTATTTCTGTCAAACATAAGCAGCTTGATACCCAAGAGACCAAAACTTCTTAATACTAGAACCAAAAAAAGAAACTTTGACTTGTCATCAGAACAAGAAAAAACTCCTATTATAGAAGCAGAAACAGCAAACATGCCATATTTACCAAATAGTAAACCAAGTAAAAGCAACAACCAAGATGATGAAAACTGGGCCAGTAACATAAAACAAGAAAAACCAGTTGGTAAAGGCAAACAAAAAGCTACTTCTTCTACAAGTAAAAATAACAAGATAAAAAACAACAAGACACATGTAGTAGCAAATACAAAAAACAACAAACAAACAGATACAGAACATGTGCACATTACACATAACAAAATTGATACACAAGACAAAATCGCTGATAGCACAACATCAGATGATGTGAATGACAAACCAGCTAACAACAAACTCAAGCAATGATCAGATTTATTCTTGAAGCTAAAAGGAGACAAGGCAACCTTCTCTAACATAGCACCCAGAAACAAGATCTATTCTAAGAATGAAAATGCTCTTGTTTTTGACACTTCTAAGCTTACCAACATACCTACCAATGACATCATCTCAACCCTCTACATCAAACTGAGAGAAGATATGCTAGCAGTAAAAACTCACATTATCAAAGACAGATGGACTCTCTTAGAAATAGTCTTCTTAGATAAAAACAAACAACAACTGTATGCTTCAGAAGGGATTACAATGTTTAAATAAACATTCTTTGAATATGTTCTAGTTAATCTTAAGTGTACATTCTTTTTAGTTAAATTGAAGAACACACCAGTAGGCAATAAAGAAGTTATCAATAAACAGATTAAAGAAACTTTTCAGGATATCAACACTATTGTCTCTATAAAACCACTTCTATATAAAGGAACCCCAATATGCTCTGACCAATGGATTGTAACTTTTGAAATATCAAATGATCCAAACCTGATGGCCAGACTA